AAAGTAGCTGACAACTCGCCAATGGCTGGAACCTAATGATGAATGCAGCGTCGTTTTTACAGGATTCTGCCAGAATCATTTACCATTACTGCGGTCTTTCAGGGATCGTTTTTGTAGGCTGTGCCAGGGAATTGCTTTTAGTAAGCAGTTGTCCGTTGTACGGGCTTCTGTGGTGGACTTTGATTGTGGTAGCCAGTTCAAATCCGGTATTTAACTGACTTCGGGTGGCTTTGACCCATTTGAACAAGCGATTTTGGCTGAACCCCAATGGTCTCGAACACCAGAAAACGTGATATAAAGGTGTTTAATGCCAGTGCAAAGTCTATCGAGTTTTTTTTTATTCGGATGTTTTATTGAAAACTATAAACAAAATATCTCATCTTTCCTTGCAATAATGAGCTTTCGCATGAGCTGGTGGAACCGTGATGCCGGATCTGTTTTTATAATGTCAGTTAAACTTGTTTCAAATGAAGTTCATCGTTTAACCAGAAGTGACAAGGTCATGGCTCAGTCGTTTGTTTCTTTTGTTCAGGCGGATTCTTTTTGGACCGATGAATTAGTTTCTCACTTTAGTTTGTATGTACTATAGTATGTTCTAATAAAAACCTGTCATTGCCGGCAGCGATATTTGTTATTTAACTTACGTTTTATGACGCCTGCTTAGCTTTTTTATACCAGCAGCCTACCTATGTCTTTACTCTATTTCATTTAGGTACTATATGATAAATGTACTTTTTTTGTTGTCTTTCCAGGAGAGACTGATTGCTGAACGTCTGAACCTGGGGAACTGAAAACGGCCGAAAATTCGCCCTCATTGAGGTAAGTCCCTGGACCTTTCCTTTTTTTGAGAGTTGATTCTGGGTGCGAGTGTTGGAGCATAGATAATTTATACCTATTACCTACCCAATAAGCAGATTTAATTACATGGAATAACCCTAGCTCTCACACTCTTCACCCAAAAATTCAAGGCTTGAGTAGTAAAATACAAGTAAATATTATGAGACGGACACAACACATTCGGGTGGACGCGTTTCGTCGAGAGACTTCTTCAACACCCCTTCAGAAATGGAAGCAATACAAGCACAAAATTTATTGTGTGTGCTTGTATTGCTTCCATATCTGAAGGGGTGTTGAAGAAGTCTCTCGACGAAATGCGTCCACCCGAATATGTTGTGTCCGTCTCATAAAATTCAGGATTTGTTGTCTGCATAATTGAACATAAACAAACTGTTCGCGACACTGTAAAGATGGGGTGGATAAGACGCCCCTCTAGCTGTTTCACTCCCGATTGAGCTAGAGCTTTCAAAAAAAGAAGAAAACAAGCGCGTGCTCCCTCGCGGGACACCCGACTGGTATCCAATTTTAAGGTCTCAGGGTCAACCGGTGACTTTTGAGCCCTGAGATTAGTTCAGGTGTCACAATTTAGGGGTTTGATTTTGACGAATAAAATCTTCACAAATGGCGGCAAAGCCGCGATTTTGGCACCCTCATATTCGGGCGCGTCGAATGATTTTCTTTTGTTTGGGTCAGGTCGCCTTACAGTGTTGCCTTCATTTCAAGGTCAGGTCATAGCCACTCAGGTCACAAAGTTTGTCGGAGGTCATTCTGCATGTCTTTCGACTCGGCAGGTCTTTCTAAGTTTTTTTTTTGTTTTGTTTGTTTAGTCGGGAAGCGGGCTGGGACCTTCGGTGACGTCATGGCTCATGCGTTCATTGATCCTACATGTGTTACACATAGGCGGCGGAATGGGGAAGGCACCGGGGCACCGTGCCCCCTTTGATTTTGGCATTTTAACATTAGCCCTATGGGCGTTGCATGGAAAGAATGGGACCAAAAGTCGACAGTGCCCCCCCCCCCTTAATTGAGAATGTTCCGACGCTACTGGTGTTACACCACGTTATCACAGGCATGCGCTGTTTACGGGGAACTTTTCTGCAGCTCGATCACAGGGGCTTGGAATTCAAATATCGTGTTCGGTTTTTTAGACCCACTTAGGGAATTAAATCTTTTTTTTTTCTTCAAAGACTCCCCTTCATGTCCGGATCTCCCTCAATTCAGATAGACGGTGCCGGTGGGATCCGACGTGGGATCCACTCACGGTGAATTGAAATGCACACGCAGGAATTAACGAACGCATATCGAGAAGTCTGAACTTTGTCCGATCTTCTCTTCGGCTCGTCGGTGTCCCGACTGTGACGCCTGCTGCCACCTTCACTGAAGCCGCCTGGAACTCAGCAATCACTGGTGTGTCCAGCGCACGATAGATGTCTCTGGGAGTCGTCCCGGTTCCCGAAAACCGACATGTGGGGTTACCGACATGTGGGGACATGTGGGGTTATGTGGGTAATGGTTCTAATGGTTCCTATATTTGATTTACCGGTGATAGTATCGTGTCGTGACTTCATACCCTGTCCTTTGATCACTGTTAACTTGTGACGAGTAACTTGTTAACTTGTCCGGATCTGGTTACGTGACTGCTGCACTGCTGTCATTGGTGACGTCATCATTGCTGCACTGACGTCCTTTGCGTCTATTGACGTGCACAGTTCGAGATTGACGTGTTGCCTACGCCGAATGTGGCCGGAAACCGATTTCCACAAACGAAATGTGCACCTTTTCAACTGACAAGCGCTTGCCCGACCGATTTGCCGTTTTTACGAAGCGTGAATTAATGCACTGGATCTTTTCTCCCCTGGCCCTGACCTAGCTGGAAACGGTGTTGTTAGTTAAGGTCTGGCTAGAAAAAGTGTGGCTAGAAAAGTCTGGTTAGATAATGTCTGGTTAGGGTAGCTAAGGTCAGGTAAGGTCATGTTTGGTTGGGTAGTCTGGTTAGGTAAGATTGACGAAGTGTATAGGGAGATGTTTGCAGGTTAGATAATCACTACAGTCCTCAATAAAGAGATATTTTTTTTTTTTAATGTGACGTAGCGGCATAACACGCTTATTGCTACCAAATGCGTCGTCTGCAGCGACGTTTAGCAGCGCACGGAGAAATGCGCATGTCCTGCCGCTAACGATACCGTTATCGCTGAAGCTGTTCCGCAGCGAACAGAAACCGTACACGCTACACCGAGATAGTGCTAACTGCGCTCTGGCGTGTCCGCTCTAGCGTGGCCGCTCTGTCGTTATTCGGACGTATTTTAGGGGTTTGCATGTGTCATCAGGATGTGTTTCTGTGACTCGTAATCTACCAGTGGTTGTGAAAAGATCAGGAAAGGGTTTTAGAGAGGTGAATGGTTTGAATTTTGTTCATCATTCATATTAAATCCGACCAATACAACGGCCGAAACGGTAAGTGCTTTGATATGTTTGAGGGACAGTGGTGTCTTGGATCATGATGGAATGGAAACGCGAATCAACAGTTTCGGGGTTCACCTTTCGGGACGTTGAAAAAATGGACGATATCCCCTTCAGTTTTAAATCGAATATCCCATGGGACCATGATCCAGCCAAGTCTGCGACTCTGGGCGTTGTTGTCGCTCATCTAACTACCCATCGAGACAGACTGCACTTCCTCCTGTCTTCCATCGAAGGGACAGGAGTCTGGGACGCGTGGCGAGGCGGACCTGTTTGCATGGGGCTCACTCGCTCAACACAGACGTGTTTGCGAGCGTTTGCTGCACCCTGCCCTGTATCGCCCCAGTGCGTGCCAGTCGCAGATAGAGGGGAAGAGCACCCTTGCCGAACCTGTGAGTGAGTCCTGGTGTTGACAGGAAGGACTGTTCGTCTGGCGAAGCGCACACACACTGACTGGTCTGGAGCGACGTGTTGTTGTGATCTTTGACGAAAACACCAGAGCTCTGTGGGGAAAACACCAGACATGAGTCATCTGAGGACAGGCCGCAGGACTAGTTCTCTGAGGACAGACCGCAGGACTAGTTCTCTAAAGGCCAGGCCGCAGGACTAGTCCTCTGAGGACAGACAGTAGGGCTAGTCATCTGAGGACAGGCCGCAGGACTAGTCCTCTGAGGACAGGCAGCAGGGCTCGAATAATAGCAGACAGAAACACTGAGTGTTGACCGCCCGAAGCCGGTCAATAGGCGATGGTCAGATACATACCGTAGCCTGAGGACTGTGTCTCGTGGGTTGCGAGCCGTGTCTCATGGCTCAAGCTCTGTGTCTCCCATTCCTAATTCGTATGCCGTTTCTCTGCGCCATGTCTCGAAGCCCGAGTGCCATGTCTCGTGGCACGTGCGCCACGTCTCCTATCGCTCGTCCGCCGTCTGCCATGGCTCGTGCGCCGTCTGCCATGGCTCGTGCGCCGTTTCTCGTAGCTCGTGCGCCACGTCTCCCCTTGCGCCGGCGCTGGGGCGGACGGTACGCGGAGCTGCCGATGGTTTGTTGGTTTAGCTCCATTCACGCTAAATGATGATGTCAGTGTGGAATGTGGGAGATTCATTTGTGGCAGTCTGGTCGTCAGCTGGTGGAATGGCGGCAAGTCGCCGGCGCCAGGGTGTGGATCGACGACAGTGCGCGCCTTTGACGCCTATTTCTTATTTGTCAGAGCGTGACGATATTTATAAGAATGCTAATAAGGCGTTTATGAGGCGCCTCAACCGTCAGTATTTTTCAGGCTTATCCGGGACTTTATATTGTCACTATACCTGACATTCGCACCATGGCCGCCCGTGGGTTCATGGACTATTCGATGCTCACTGGCCGGTGATCCTTGCACCAGAAAATACCTAACTGCACAAATTTTTGAGGGATCTAATTTTACTCTTTGCAGCTGGCACCATCAGATCCGAACCGATATATTCCCACCAATTCCTCGCAAACAGCTGTTTGACAGATTCTGCGTCTTGTGCGCGCCGCGTCGATTTTCGCCCGCCCACCACGCACTTGTGCGTAGACGGTGGGTGTCAATCAGACGTGCGTGTCACGCGCTCGATCAATGGCCCACTGCGCGTGACCCACTGCCCTCGCCCCCCCCCCGTTTCCGGTCCGGCATTCCCCATCGACCGCGGTGCTTCCGGCGCGGGTGTGACGTCACCACCGGCAGTTGCCGGATGACGTCACTGGCGGGTATGACGTGTTGCTGCGCAGCTGCGTAATGGCGCTGCTCTGCAGTACGGTCGGGCTCGCCGCCGGACAGTGTCGGGCTGGCCGGGCGGAGGGAGGGCACGTCGCCGCTGGCCGCTGCACGTCGGTCGCGTGGCTGGCACGGACCGCACTGGCCGAGGTCAAGGTCGGTTGCGAGCTGCTGTGACGCTGCCAAGACGAACGTCGACGAACGGTGTGTAGCTGCGTCGGATTGAGCTGAACTCAGTGAGGTGTGGCTGGGTATACGGTGGCGACTCTGAAGGAACTGACCTGGGTCACGATAAACTAGTCAGGCCAGGTCACGGAGCGGCACAGTTCAGTGCTCTTTCGTACAGAGGTGTGTGACAGAACCGCTCCCGTCGTTATTTGGTGATCTCGTCGGCTGTACGCGGCAAAAGGAGCTGTAGTGGTGGACTCGTTAAACCGAACGATACGGGCTCCGTTCGGGTCTGGTAACCGAGGTTCCATAACCGGGCACTGCCCGTGACCGGGAGTTCGGAACCGGACCGCCCAGTGTTGACTGCGAGCCAGAGAACCTCATAAGAACCCCAGAGGAACCTTCAGCATCGGCTAAGGAGTGTGTTCCCAGTGCACGTTCTGTGCAGGTCTGACCTGACCTGACCTGACCTGACCTGAGCTGGTCTCACCGCGATGGAGTTTATGCGTCGATGGTCGAGCAGCTCCCGTCGGAGATGCGCCTCAGAGTCGGAGTCGGACTCGCAGACTCGCACCAAGGCGGCATGCCGCGCCGCTCAGTCGCGTATGTATCGGGTCAGGGGAATCAGGGGGCTGTGTGCGTGTGTGTGCGTGTGTGTGGGGGGGGGGGAGGGTGTCAGCGTGTGAGAGGGTTGGAGAAGGGTGCGTTCAGTATGACCCATGGCGGTGTGACTATATTTTAGCAGAGTTACACGCAAGCATAAAATGACCCTTCTGCGTCCCAATTGCCCCGTCGGGGACGCAAAAATAAACCCTACATGGGTATTGGATACGCCGAAGAGTTGTAGGGGTTGACACTTAGTACATAAGAGATTCACTGGCGCAAATACTTGAGTATGTCGTTTGCTGAAGGTAGTCACTGAACTGTATTGCCGGTGTTTTAGGCAGACAGACTGAACACAGACAGACCGTGTTTCTGAAGTCAAAGCCAAGGTCTTGGAGTCAAGGCCAGACGGTAGTCTTTATGACTTGGTTCCCGTGGCCCGAGGCCTTTGGTTCGTGCGCCGTGTCGGTGCGGTAGCTACCGGCACGGGTTCCGGTCACGTAAGGCCCCCCCCCCCCCAGTCATTTGGCATCAGTCATAGGAGTGGCTGTCTCGGAGACAGTAACAGTAGTTGTCTTCTCGAGGAAGCCCCTCGAGAAATGATTGGTCGGAATTGACACAACGGCTGAGTGCAACCCACTGTGTCTTGCTCCAGTTTATGAAAATGTGTCGCGTGTTATCCCAGTCACAGCAATATTCGTGGTATCTATTCAACCCTCGGAAGAAGTCGCTCTTTGTTAGTGCAGCGACTGAGGCAGCCACTGCTTTTATCTCAGCCTCAGTTGAAGCCACTGTCTGTTCTTCAGCCCAGCCACAGTATGTGGTACCCTCGTCCTCGGATTTGCCCCCGCTCGGCCCCCGTCCAGCCCCCACGGGACCTCTGCCCCGCACGAGGCTGTTCACGTGCAACACACCAATAACGGGGGCTGTGAACCGGGCTGCGGCCTGGGCTGGCGGTGGTCGGGCCGTCTGGGCTGGTACGACTTCCTGGCAGGAATGGGTTCTGCTCACATGTCAGAAGCGTGAGGCGCTGGGCGGGTCACCATATCCTGAAGCTGGTGGAGAGACACCCTCCCTGATATAGACTGACCTTTGGTTAAGGTCAGGGAGCGAGAAGGCGAAAATTCTGTGAGTTTTAGGATGTGGATTGGCTTTGGCCCCAATTGAGAATGACATGGGCGCCGTGCGATGGCCATAGCTTAGTGCAGCCGCGCCTAGTTTACGTTGGGACTAAATATTTTCATACATCTGACCTTGCAATACTACAACGCAAGTGGCTGCCAATGTCAGTGTCAATGTCGATGTTTAGCGCGGCCCCGTGAGGGTCCTCCCACTCCCTCCCCCACTGGCCCCTGGGGGTCCGTCCGCCATCCACACTGGGCCCTGATGGTCATCCCGCCTCCCCACTAGCCCCTGAGGGTCCTCCCGGTACTCCACTGGCCCCTGAAGGCCCCTCCAGCCACCACCCCCTGACCCCTGTCGCGCTCTTTCTGTCGCCCTGACCTTAAGGTCACCTTCTCTGCTGCGGAGCGGGTCATTACCAGTGGCCTGAACCTCTGCGCGAAGCCTGCACCGCTCGCTCGTTTCACTGTTTTCTTAGTGACACTGTCTGGGGGCGGTGCTGTTTGAGGTTGACCCCGCCCGAGTCGTCTGGCGCCGCGGGATCGGGATTAGGGCGGCTCGTAGGAGCTAGGATGGTGCCTTGGTGGGCCTGGCGAGGACGCCGGGTGGCCCTGCGTTGACTCCGCATGGATCTCGCATTGATACCGATGGGGCCTCAAATGAACCCGAGTACCTACAAGTCGCCGCGTCGTGCGATGAAGACGATGTCTGCTCAGCTGGAATACACCAGTTGGTACTGGTGATAACGTGTTAGGATTGGAGGGAGTGTATTGAGGAGGGGGCTCGAACTGGCGCGTTATGGAGATGATTCTGCTGAGCAGGGATGGTCAAGTTGGAACTGGTGCTAACGGGCGTTAGGGAGTGTAGCTATCGAGGAGGCTCGAGCGTGCGCATTACCTGCAACTCATGCCCTACGGTGCCTTTTGCTAGGTGTAGCTTAATGCTTCTGTGAATTATCCTGCTAGAATAGTACCTAACTAACATATAGACTTGCCGTTGTTCAGTCATGTTTGGTGTTGAAAAAGTTAAAATTAACCGTTCGTGCTGGCAACGCTATAGCATAGTTGAATGTTCTTGACTAGTAAAATTTCACGGACGTGCCTAGCAAAAGCCGGGATGAGTTTGACTATGGAACATCGCCGGATTGCAACTCCCATTGTTTGGCCAGCCCGGTTTATAGCCGAAAGCGCCTTACTCGACACCGGGCCTGCAGGAGCCCTCAGTCTTGACATAGTTGAATCTCTAACATATTCTGACATTGCTGGAATGGGTGCGTGATTCATGACAATGGTTGATACTCGAAGGGACAGCGGAGACAAAGACTGTACGCAGAGACAGTTCTCCCAGTCTGACCTTGTCCGATCGTCTGCTGCGACTCGATCGGCCAGCGACCCCGAGCTGGGAAACGAACTACCCCAAGGTCTGCGCAGTTCTGGCAACTGCACGATCCGGCGGTATTCTGAGAATTCTGACAGAACCGACCGTAATGACAGCGGTGAATAGCGCGGCGTATCTGATGGCCTACCCCATTGCAGTCGGTCTGGCGCACGGTAAGCCCCGATTTTCCTCCTGAAAAGGTGGTGGCTAATGTGCGTAAGAGCGCTGAACGCCCTCAGGTCCGGGAAGGCGGCCGCTGGAGGTCTGGGTTGTCGCCAGGGCGTTCCGTGGTAGCCACTTAGCCACTTAGCGAGAGCTCTGCCGAACACGTTTGTAGCGTGATGACCTTTGCGTGATTCACGAGCGTGACAGGATAGAACTGTTCTGTTCTCGTGGAGGACACGAAGCTCGAAGGTCCGTCGAGTTGAGGCTGCAATTGACAGATGCATCAACCCTGTGCCGTATGGTAAGATGTGCTTTGAAGCGTTTGGCCCCGTTGTTTGCCGGGCCTACATCGTGGTGTATTTTGTTACGGCAGGGCGCCACACTAACCTTCCATGTATTGGCAGGAATGTCATTCATAATTGAGAACATAGTTATGTAATGGTGTAGTTCCCAGAGACAGTTGTGCCGTGGTTGAGTAAAAGCGGCCGACGTGTGCTACATATTCTGCGCTGTCATTTTTAGTTTTAAAGGGACCCTCCCACCTTCAAAAAAGTCAATGAATTGGCATGAAAGTGATGTCGCTCGGTTCAGAAAGAGCAAAAACGAATATCTACCAAATTTCATCGAAAAATATTCACCGGTTTTCAAGATATTAGACTTTTACTTTTGTTTACTTTTAGGGATCTCCGCTGTTCCTAGCGACTTTATTTGAAAGTGCGGCATTTGTTGCGCGCAAAGCAGCATATACCACCGCGTGCTACCAAACGTTTTAGTAAAAGATTTAAAATCGTTAGATCTCCGCTGACGTCACAAATTCTAAGGGGGCATACCAATGCATTAGCCCCTTAGAATCCGAAAACTGCAAGTTTGAAATTCGATATCTCCGAATTAAAGCATTTTTCGATGTTGTGAGTGCCCAAACCGGTATTTTCAGGTCATGGCCACCAATTTGGCTATCTCAACTCAAATCTAATGTTAAGGTGGGAGGGTCCCTTTAATATCTGTCCCAAAATACCATCACTGAAGTGACGGAGTCACCAGGAAAACCTGTTACCTCGTATTGAGGGGGTGTTTTTGACTTTTTGATAATCACTGGGCGAATCAATTACCTACCGATATTCCACCCGGTACAAGTGTTTAAGATGAACTTATCTTGATGATTTGCAAACCTTTGCAGTCCCAGGCGTTGCTTTTTTTCTGGACAGCCTCTTCGTGACGGTCTTTGTGATATTGTGATGGATTTCATTATTGCGTGACGACCTTCGTGATCGGTTTCGTGACGGGCGATCCTAGTGACATCCTCAACCTTTGGCATTCAAACATAGCTCGATGAAATGGGAACATTTGCGACATTTGGCTGTCACATTTGACTCTCAGGATAAGCTCTAGGGACGATGGAAATACCCGTGACATTTAACCGTCCTACATTGATCTGTGACGTGAAACATCGGACTGCTGAACGAAATGACACTGGATAGTGCGCGCGAGAGCATGTCCTCTGAAAGATCATGAGACAGGATAGGTCAGAAATCGTTAAAAGATATCACAGATCGGGGCAGGTGGCGAGTGGTCTGTCACTTGTGCTAACTGTTTGGAAAGGTGGACAATGGACATGAATATGACGAGCTATTGATAACCAGCTGCCACTCCCACCAAATCGTTTGAACAGATCCTCGCCGGCGTTAGATGACTCGCAGTGACATTGGGAGTGTCCAGGAGTGTGTTCTCTGGAATGATGTGATTGGTGGCACGTCACCCATGCTCGCCTCCCGAGCTGGGTGGTCCCATTGCGCCAAGGACGGTGAATGTCTGGTTGCTGTTTTGTGTCCGTGAAGTCGCCAAAGATAGTTCTTATTTAGCTATTGGAAACCTCGTGCGAGCTTATGTGCGCACTGCGCATACCTCGAGGCGCGAGCACCCCAGCCGTATGAGATTCCCGTGAGAAATCCCTCCGGCCACACCCCACACCGGGCGGGTCAAAGGGCGCTCAGACTCTAATGGGAGGTGTCAGCTCTCACACCCCGAGACTCGAGTTCGAGCCGGGTGAGGGAATACAAACACACCCTTTCTGTGATGTGTTGGTGACAGTTGTGGGTGTCTGCTTTAGGGGATATCCTGATCGTGCACTGGATACAGTCCGGATCGTGTGATGGATACGGTTCGGATCGTGCACTGGATAGATCTGGTACCTAATAATTTTTACATTGATTTTCTTGCATTTGATTGACATTGAAAAGAGCTGAAGAGAGCTGTTTTTATGAACTGGCTTGGTGAATACTGCAACGAATATCACGTTTATAATTGATTGCATCAGAAACTACTTTGCACCTTCAATT